AATGACTGCAGTGTCATGTATTGTACAGAACAGTTGTATTAGATGCGTGATTAATGTGTGTGCATCCTGCTGGGCTTAAGAATTCTTTCCTATAATGTATTTCCTCACTGCATCCAGATTTTGGCTTCTTTATCCTTCCCCCTTTTGGTACTTAAGTGCCAACAGCCAAGAATGAAGTTACTGTTGAATAGAATATGTCTATCTGTAACTTTTTTCTTCTTTTTATATCACTGGTTTCCTAATGTCTAAATGCTTCTGTCCCCCATCTGTTAGGACATTTGCGATTGTACGGTGAAAGAATTAGAGACATTAGCTATTTCAAGGTCTTTGGGCACTGTAAAAACCTGGTGATTTACCAATAGCCAATGAAGTAAAAGCAGGGTATGATTCAAGCAGGTTGAGTGTGTCCAGTGAAATGGCAAGTGGACAGTGGCTCCAACAAGCATGCTGATAAAGGGCCAAAGAAGAAAAAGGGGAAAGCCACTGGAAATGCATTAGCAAATCAATCTGAAAGTGGTGCTGATAACCAAGAGCATACTTCTACCAAATCTAAGAAAAGCCAGAGAAAGGGTAAGGATACATCTTCACAAACATCAGATTCAAAGCAAGGCTCTAGGAAAGAATCACTTAAAATGAAAGAGGATAATCTCAGTAGTCCCTCAGAAGAATGGATCATGGAGAAGATTACAGCCTTGGTTCCTGATTTTGAAGAACAAGGTCTTCTAATTATGACTTTGGATATACTCTTTCTGCATATGCATTTTATCCAATTTCTTAAATTATGTGCTATTAATTGATAGGTATTGATGATCCTGAAACAATTCTTAGGCCTTTGGCTAACAAGTTAAGGCCCACAATAATCAATACTTGGATGGAGAAAAGGAAGGCATTGTTTAAAGACAATGCAGAAAGAATGAAACAATTGCTTGATAATTTGCAGAAAAAACTCGATGAGGTGTGACTGCTCTGTAGTATCTTTTTGTACTTTTTTCGTCCACTGTGTCAATGTTGGTACTTTATTTAATCTTTCCTTAGAGCATCTTTAATGCTGGTAAAGTAAGGCAAACGTTTTGTTATAGTTTACGTTGCTTGTAGACAACCGGCATTATAGAAAGATGACATGGCATCATATATAATTTTGGATGCTCTATAGAAGCAATGCAACTAAATCTCATCTGTCATAAAAATAACAATTTTATATTATTGAGATGAAAGATAATAAATTCTTATAGTGTTGAGTTCACTGTTAAAAATAATTACAAATAAATAAATATAAATATGTGGGGTCACCTTTGAGTTATTTATAAACAACCACCATTAAAGTAAAAAAAGAATAGATCAATTGCAAATTCTTTAAATCCTATTTGGCAATTTGGTCCCACAAAATACAAATTAATTAATCCATTTTAGTTCCTTATTATTCACCCCACTAAAGATGCTCTCATTGGATACTTATCTGAACATGTCCTTGTGTGATTTGTTTTTTGGCAGTCTTTCTTAAACATGCAACTGTATGAAAAAGCCTTAGAATTGTTTGAAGATGATCAATCAACTTCTGTAAGTCAAGTTAATTGAAATTTGAAAATGTTATTTTCACTGTTGAAACATGAATAAATTAATGTATCTTTGATGCCCAGGTTGTTTTTGCATAGGCATTTACTAAGGACAGTAGCAGCTCCTATGGTTGACATGCTTCTTCATGACTTGGTATTATATACAGCAATTATTCTGTTGATATTTCTTGAGGTGTAATAAGATCTAAAAACACTATGGATTCATCCTTTTGCAGGATGAGCAGAACAAATTAAATAACGGAGTAGAAGTGCAGGAATCTCCAAATTCTGAGTCTATTTCGTTTAGTCCTGGAGATAGAGCTGCAATTGTAAGACTTGAGAGGAAAATATGAAATGATAATTAATACTCTGCATAATGATGTTTATAGTCAGAATCAGAATGAATAAATTTCACAAGAAGTTTAATCAAAGCAAACATAATTTCACAAGATACTACCAATCTTAATATGCAATGAATCCTATGATACAGTGAAGTTTAATTCTACTTTGAATCTTGAACAATAGCTATATTAAGTTTTCAACAGTAAGAATATTACATTACTTGGAAAGTTATGCTTTTCTGTTCTGATGCGTTTAGTATATCAAATCTTAGATATTTGTAAACTATCTTCTTTAGTGGAACACATAAAATGACTTCAAATACTACATCTATTGTTATTTTCTTTTGTAGTCCAAGAGTTTTCCAGGAGCTCTTTCAAATAAGGCTCTTGCTGTTGTAGAAGCATTGGAAGGAAAGGTAAGCATTTTTATTTCTGAAACATTATGGTTAAGGCTATTTGTATAAGGTTCACTCAATCACTCATCAGTTCACAATTGCAGCTGGTTGGCTGGAAATATCTTGTTATAACTTGAAACTTATTTTTCTGTTTGATTTTTGAATGCTGCAACTAATATTTGAATATTCAATACAATAGAGGGTGGAAACATTCATGTCTTCATTCAGAGCTGTGACAGAAGAGAGGTAATAACTTGTCTTTTTTGTTAGTAGTACTTATAGCGTTGCTTTTACCAAAGCTTCTCTCTTGACGTTAAACCTCATGTGATTAATTTTTCCAGCGGGCTGCCTTTGAAAAAGCTAGACAAGAAACTAGAAAGGACACTTCTACATTCATATCGTAAGGTATGTACTGAAACTATAAGTTTGGTAAAACTTTAGAATGACAAGAAGAAATACTCCTGAATTAGTTTGTTTACAACTATTATAAGACAGACCAATTCCACTTAAATAATGATGGAGCTCAGCTCCTTCCACCAATAAAATAGACACAATACCCTACCACAACAATGCAAATGAACAACTGGCTTGATACCACATGCACTGACAACCCTTTCCCTAGCCAATGACTTATCTATTTTCCTCTAATCTTGCTGCCCCCCTATGCCCTCTTATTGGGCCTTATATACTGTTAGACCATTTTTCTGTTTACATCCTCTCCTATATACATGTATGTCAGTGTTAATTACAACGATTCAAGATATTCAGTTTTCTATCCTACAATAGTTCCTAAGATTGCTCCTAATTGATTCTACGACACAGGTGAAACAGTAGCTTAATTATCTAAGATATTCTTACACTTTCCGTGGAGCTGGAAATCACTTATTATAGCTTGTCATGTATATAGCTGGTCTGGTGACCTCTAAAGGCCTCAGTGTATGCAAATTGACAAATATAATGTGGATATTGTTACGATCTCTTGCATTTGAATTTTCTCTGGTGCAACATGGCAATTAATCTCAATATGTTTCAGGAAAAATAGGATTTCAAGATATATGTAGTGCAACATGGTTGCCACACTAGTTTCATTGGTTGCAATTCATAGTTGTTTAAATTGTTAGAGCAGCAGTTCATAGGCTTCAGTACCCATCATTTGATACTCAACTTTTGCACTTGATTTGAAAACTGTTTGCTTCTTTTCCATGATATTATATTTCCTCCAAAGTAAACAGTGTCATGGCCAAAATAGAGCTTTTAAATAAGATAAATTTGCTTCCCAACTGGCATCTATATAAGCACAAATTTACACATGCTTGCTATCTTTGTTTAGTTAACATTTTTGTAAATGCTCTTCGAACGTATCTATGTCTTTGAACAACAATATCACGGTTAGAGTCACACGTAGAATCAAGGAATTTACTTACTGCACTCACGAGCATTACTAAGGAGATATTTAATCTCGTTATCATGATAGATAGTTAGGTAGATAGATAGATAGATAGATGGATAGGTAGATGTAACAAACCCCAGCTAGTGCGTAAAAGCTTTTGTTTTGGTGGTTGTTATAATGGGACATTTCAACTTTCAAAGTAACCTCCAAGAATGTCCTATATTTAGTTCTTGTCGGTTTCACCAAGATGATTATTTCAGAACATACAATGTTTTCTACTGCTTGCACCCCAACCCAAATCCCACCTAGCAATAAATCCAGGTAGTTAATCCATGTAAACTTGTAAATTACCATTGGAGAGGACTTTCTTTATGTCCCGATTGTATTGAGGCCAATGTTTAATGACAGCCATGGCTAGGAAGAGCCAAACAGCGGGCTCAAGAAAATATATTATTCAAGCAAAAGATTTTAGTGTAATATTTGGTCCCTAAACGAGGCTTTAATAAGTGAATAGAGTCACATGGACCAACTTCAATTGTAAATACCCATAGGCAACAATGAGATATTTTCCCACTGGCTTAAGGACTATATTTCACGTGACTTTGGTTTGCAAGGCCCCATTATTAAACATTTATTTGATATTCTTTTCAATTTCAGTATGCTATATCTGATATTCAAGATTGTTTAAATTGTAATTCCTAATATTAGCAGACCCGTCCATTTTACATAGAATTTTTGTTTGTTTTTGCCATGATATTCTGCAATTTGGATGATCTTAAACCATGTCTTCTATCACTGTTATCATCAGGAATTGACATCTCAAGTTTCGGCTGAGACTGACCCTGTATCACTTCTGCCGAAAGTCGTGTCTTTACTCTATGTCCAGGTAACTTGATGCTACTTCCCCCTCACCTCAACAAAAAAAAAACTCTTATTCCCATCATTAACATGTATTTGTATTAACAGGTTTACCATAAAGCTCTACAAGCCCCTGGAAGGGCCATTTCTGTTGCTATTTCTCAATTGACGGTATGTTCTTTCCATATGCTTAATTATGCATCAAGACAACTGAAATAATAGTAATTGCCGAAATCAAAACAAGTATTTGTATATCAACTGACAGTAAGTACTGAAAAACCTTGTTGAACCCTGAGATAAACAGTGATGCCTCATTGCCCTTGTATTTAAAATATGATTTGGTGGTGATATTTAACAAAGATATGGACATTATATGTGGTTTCTTACTTGTTTTGCTGTTCAATATCTCAGATAGATCATAAAAACTTTATCAGAGCATAATCTATTCCATGTTACACTTGAATGGCTGTTTAATGCAAAAGTGTTAGTCATGATTCTTGTATGTTGCATTTAACCATATCTAGGGTTTTTTTACATTCTCAAATATAGTTCACAGGCACTTAACCATATCTAGGGTGTTTTTGCATTTAACCGTATCTTATAGTGGTAAAAACTATTAGCTTTCTTGCACTTATTTTGTTGAGAGATAATTGTAACACCTATACACTTATCAGAGCATAATACTTCACAGGCAATAGATTTTAGGCTCATTTTTGCACTAGTTTTGACAATAATCTGAAAGCAGGCAATCAAGGAAAATAGTTCTCATGGATTCTGCATGAATAAATGATTACTTTTTAGGACTGAAAAGCTTCCAAAAGTATATATATTTAACGTATTTTTTATCAAAAGCTGAATGAATATCTTAGGCAACTAAAGTAGCAAATAGTGTGTGTTTGTTAAGTACTAGTCAACCAAGGAAAAATAGTTCTCATCGATTCTGCAAGAACAATGAACACTCTTTAGGACTGGAAAGCTTGCAGTAATATATGTTTAACTTATGTTTTATCAAAATCTGAATGAATAATATCTTAGAGAACCTAAAGTAGTTAATGGGGGGTTTGTAAGGTACTAGTAAAACAATTAAAATATCCATAAAATATTGTAAAATGTCTTCTGTAACTTTTCCCTAATTTTGGTTCACATGTTTTATTTGTTAGGATAAGCTTGACGAGACAGCTTGCAAGATTATAGCTGATTATCAAGCTGCTGCCGTTACTCTTTTGACACTATCAGCTACTCCGGATGACATGAGTAGTTTCTTTTCATGCACTGTTCATTTATACACGTTATTATGGTTGATCTCACAGAATTTTGATCATTCTTCTCTAAGATATCAAAGTAATCAAACTTTTGTTCTAAACCGTCTTCTGTTAAGTTTTAAACGTGAGTAAGACTTGGAATTGAAGTTTCTCGAGCAACTTTTTCCAATGTCTTTGTTGAATAATTAGAAAATAAATCCGAATTTCACAAGAACATGTTGCATTAACTATTTTAAAATGGGTATGTGATATTTCTGGGAGTGGTTGATATATTTGTAAATGTGTATAAGATTATTTTGAATGCCCGCCCAATTCAATGTTTAGATTGTAAACTATTTTTTTTCTTCTTTTCTATTTTGTGCAGGAAGACAGTTGTGCATCGAATAGAATTAGAGAGATTCTGGAGAGCCAAATGCCTGCTCTCAAAAGTTTGGTTTCGGGTGCCTCACAGTCATAAATATTTTTCAAGTCAAATCTATCCCCTGAATGAAACTGTACTGTACTTTGTTAGGATGGACGAATTTTATGTTAGTTTAGACTATACAACTTGTATACACTATACAGTGCACTGCAAAAAAAAAAGTTTTTTTGGATTTTTGCTCCATGAAATTTGTCTTTTAAGCAAAATTGCCAAATTAACGATAAATATTAGGACTATTTTGGAACTTATATTTTTCTACAGATGGTTGGATTTTTAAAAATGATAATAATAATGGTAGAGTAGAGTAGAGTAGAGTAGAGTAGAGTAGAGTAGAGTAGAGTAGAGTAGAGTAGAGTAGAGTAGAGTAGAGTAGAGTAGAGTCGAGTGGAGTGGAGTGGAGTGGAGTGGAGTGGAGTGGAGTGGAGTGGAGTGGAGTGGAGTGGAGTGGAGTGGAGTGGAGTGGAGTGGAGTGGAGGAGGAGTAGTAGGGGTAGACGTAGGGGTAGACGTAGGGGTAGGCGTAGACGTAGGGGTAGGAGTGGGGTAGGGGTAGGGGTAGGAGTGGGGTAGGGGTAGGAGTGGGGTAGGGGTAGGGGTAGGAGTAGAGGGGTAGGGGTAGGTGTAGACGTAAGGGGGGGGGGGGGGGGGGTAGGAGTAGGAGTAGGAGTAGGGGGGTAGGCGTAGGCGTAGGGTAGGGGTAGGGGTAGGGGTAGGGGTAGGAGTAGGAGTAGGAGTAGGGGGTTAGAGGGGTAGGGGGGTAGGAGTAGGAGTAGGAGTAGGGGGGTTAGGGGTTAGGGGGGTAGGGGAGGAGTAGGAGTAGGGGGGTTAGGGGTTAGGGGGGTAGGGGAGGAGTAGGAGTAGGAGGCATGGATAGGGGTAGGGGTAGGAGTAGACGTAGGGGGAGTAGGGGTAGGAGTAGACGTAGAGGGGGGGGGGGGGGGTAGGAGTGAGGTAGGGGTAGGAGTAGGAGGGGGGTAGGGGTAGGAGTAGGGGTAGGGGTAGGGGTAGGGGTAGGAGTAGACGTAAGGGGGGTAGGGGTATGGGTAGGGGTATGGGTAGGAGTAGAAGTAGGGGTAGGGGTAGACGTAAGGGGGGTAGGGGTAGGGGTAGGGGTAGGGGTATGGGTAGGAGTAGACGTGGGGGGGGGGGGGGTAGGAGTGAGGTAGGGGTAGGAGTAGGAGGGGGGTAGGGGTAGGAGTAGGGGTAGGGGTAGGGGTAGGGGTAGGAGTAGACGTAAGGGGGGTAGGGGTATGGGTAGGGGTATGGGTAGGAGTAGAAGTAGGGGTAGGGGTAGACGTAAGGGGGGTAGGGGTAGGGGTAGGGGTAGGGGTATGGGTAGGAGTAGACGTAGGGGGGGTAGGAGTAGACGTAGGGGGGGTAGGAGTAGGGGTAGGAGTAGACGTAGGGGTGGGGGTAGGAGTAGGGGGGTATGAGTAGGAGTAGGGGTAGGGGTGGGGGTAGGGGTAGGGCGTAGGGGTAGGGGTAGGGGTAGGGGTGGGGGTGGGTAGGAGTAGGAGTAGGGGGGTAGGCGTAGACCTGAGGGGGGTAGGAGTAGACGTGGAGGGTAGGGGTAGAAGGTAGGAGTAGGAGTAGGAGTAGGAGTAGGGGTAGGGGTAGGCGTATGGGTAGGCGTAGGGGTAGGGATGTACACGTACGTGTAGGGGGAGGGTAGGCGTACGCGTACGCGTAGGGTGGGTTAAGGTACGCGTAGGGTAGGGGTAGGAGTATGAGTATGAGTAGGGGAGGGGTAGGGGTAGGCGTAGGGGGTATGAGTAGGGGGTAGGAGTGGGGGGGGGGGGGGTAGGAGTAGACGTGGAGGGGTAGGGGTAGGGGATAGGCCTACACCTGGGGGAGGGGGTAGGAGTAGACGTGGGGGGGGGGGGGTAGGAGTGAGGTAGGGGTAGGAGTAGGAGGGGGGTAGGGGTAGGAGTAGGAGTAGGGGTAGGGGTATGGGTAGGAGTAGACGTAGGGGGGGTAGGGGTAGGGGTAGGGGTATGGGTAGGAGTAGACGTAGGGGGGGTAGGAGTAGGGGTAGGAGTAGACGTAGGGGGGGGTAGGAGTAGGGGTGGGGGTAGGAGTAGGGGTGGGGGTAGGAGTAGGGGGGTATGAGTAGGAGTAGGAGTAGGGGTAGGGGTGGGGGGTGGGGGTAGGGGTAGGGGTAGGGGTAGGGGTAGGGGTGGGTAGGGGTAGGAGTAGGGGGTAGGCGTAGACCTGAGGGGGGTAGGAGTAGACGTGGAGGGTAGGGGTAGAAGGTAGGAGTAGGAGTAGGAGTAGGCGTATGGGTAGGCGTAGGGGTAGGCGTAGGGGTAGGGATGTACACGTACGTGTAGGGGGAGGGGTAGGCGTACGCGTACGCGTAGGGTGGGTTAGGGTACGCGTAGGGTAGGGGTAGGAGTATGAGTAGGGGAGGGGTAGGGGTAGGCGTAGGGGGTAGGAGTAGGGGGTAGGAGTGTGGGGGGGGGGGGGGGGGGGGGGTAGGAGTAGACGTGGAGGGGTAGGGGTAGGGGATAGGCCTACACCTGGGGGGGGGGGGTAGGAGTAGACGTGGGGGGGGGGGGTAGGAGTGAGGTAGGAGTAGGAGGGGGGTAGGGGTAGGGGTAGGAGTAGGAGTAGGAGTAGGGGTAGGGGTAGGGGTAGGGGTAGGGGTAGGGGTAGGAGTAGACGTAAGGGGGGTAGGGGTAGGGGTAGGGGTATGGGTAGAAGTAGGGGTAGGGGTAGGGGTAGGGGTAGACGTAAGGGGGGTAGGGGTAGGGGTAGGGGTAGGGGTATGGGTAGGAGTAGACGTAGGGGGGGTAGGAGTAGGGGTAGGAGTAGACGTAGGGGTGGGGGTAGGAGTAGGGGGGTATGAGTAGGAGTAGGGGTAGGGGTGGGGGTAGGGGTAGGGCGTAGGGGTAGGGGTAGGGGTAGGGGTGGGGGTGGGTAGGAGTAGGAGTAGGGGGGTAGGCGTAGACCTGAGGGGGGGTAGGAGTAGACGTGGAGGGTAGGGGTAGAAGGTAGGAGTAGGAGTAGGAGTAGGAGTAGGGGTAGGGGTAGGCGTATGGGTAGGCGTAGGGGTAGGGATGTACACGTACGTGTAGGGGGAGGGTAGGCGTACGCGTACGCGTAGGGTGGGTTAAGGTACGCGTAGGGTAGGGGTAGGAGTATGAGTATGAGTAGGGGAGGGGTAGGGGTAGGCGTAGGGGGTAGGAGTGGGGGGGGGGGGGGGTAGGAGTAGACGTGGAGGGGTAGGCGTAGGGGGTAGGAGTGGGGGGGGGGGGGTAGGAGTAGACGTGGAGGGGTAGGGGTAGGGGATAGGCCTACACCTGGGGGAGGGGGTAGGAGTAGACGTGGGGGGGGGGGGGGGGGGGGGGGTAGGAGTGAGGTAGGGGTAGGAGTAGGAGGGGGGGTAGGGGTAGGGGTAGGAGTAGGAGTAGGGGTAGGGGTAGGGGTATGGGTAGGAGTAGACGTAGGGGGGGTAGGGGTAGGGGTAGGGGTATGGGTAGGAGTAGACGTAGGGGGGGTAGGAGTAGGGGTAGGAGTAGACGTAGGGGGGGTAGGAGTAGGGGGTGGGGGTAGGAGTAGGGGGGTATGAGTAGGAGTAGGAGTAGGGGTAGGGGTGGGGGTAGGGGTAGGGCGTAGGGGTAGGGGTAGGGGTAGGGGTGGGTAGGGGTAGGAGTAGGGGGTAGGCGTAGACCTGAGGGGGGTAGGAGTAGACGTGGAGGGTAGGGGTAGAAGGTAGGAGTAGGAGTAGGAGTAGGCGTATGGGTAGGCGTAGGGGTAGGCGTAGGGGTAGGGATGTACACGTACGTGTAGGGGGAGGGGTAGGCGTACGCGTACGCGTAGGGTGGGTTAGGGTACGCGTAGGGTAGGGGTAGGAGTATGAGTAGGGGAGGGGTAGGGGTAGGCGTAGGGGGTAGGAGTAGGGGGTAGGAGTGGGGGGGGGGGGGGGGTAGGAGTAGACGTGGAGGGGTAGGGGTAGGGGATAGGCCTACACCTGGGGGGGGGGGGGGTAGGAGTAGACGTGGGGGGGGGGGGGGGGGGTAGGAGTGAGGTAGGAGTAGGAGGGGGGTAGGAGTAGGAGTAGGAGTAGGAGTAGGGGTATGGGTAGGGGTATGAGTATGGGTAGGAGTAGACGTAGGGGGGGGTAGGGGTAGGAGTGAGGTAGGGGTAGGAGTAGGAGGGGGGTAGGAGTAGGAGTAGGAGTAGGAGTAGGAGTAGGGGTATGGGTAGGGGTATGAGTATGGGTAGGAGTAGACGTAGGGGGGGTAGGGGTAGGGGTATGGGTAGGAGTAGACGTAGGGGGGGTAGGAGTAGGGGTAGGAGTAGACGTAGGGGGGGTAGGAGTAGACGTAAGGGGGGTAGGAGTAGGGGTGGGGGTAGGAGTAGGGGGTATGAGTAGGAGTATGAGTAGGAGTAGGAGTAGGGGTAGGGGTGGGGGTAGGGGTAGGGCGTAGGGGTAGGGGTAGGGCGTAGGGGTGGGTAGGGGGGTAGGCGTAGACCTGAGGGGGGTAGGAGTAGAAGGTAGGAGTAGGAGTAGGAGTAGGAGTAGGGGTAGGGGTAGGCGTATGGGTAGGCGTAGGGGTAGGCGTAGGGGTAGGGATGTACACGTACGTGTAGGGGGAGGGGTAGGCGTACGCGTACGCGTAGGGTGGGTTAGGGTACGCGTAGGGTAGGGGTAGGAGTATGAGTATGAGTAGGGGAGGGGTAGGGGTAGGCGTAGGGGGTATGAGTAGGGGGTAGGAGTAGACGTGGAGGGGTAGGGGTAGGGGATAGGCCTACACCTGGGGGGGGGGGGTAGGAGTAGACGTGGGGGGGGGGGGGGGGTAGGGGTAGGGGTAGGTAGGAGGGTAGAGGTAGGAGTAGGAGTAGACGTGGGGGGGTAGGGGTAGGGGTAGGGGTAGGGGGTAGGAGGGTAGGGGTAGGAGTAGGGGTAGGGGTAGGGGTAGGGCGTAGGCGTATGGGGGTAGGGATACGCGTAGGGGGTAGGAGGGTAGGTAGGAGGGTAGAGGTAGGAGTAGGAGTAAGGGTAGAAGTAGACGTGGGGGGGTAGGGGTAGGG